TTAGCAATCTCTGTACTCCAACTTTCTTCTATTCTCACTGAAGAAGCCATCAGTTTATCTATTGTTAGGGTTTCTACTCAGGTGCAATTGACAATTCTCATGAGTAACATTAGAGTGCAGTTTTTTTAACATCTTTGAACATTGAAAGATTGTTGGTCAGGCAAAAATATGAAACAATTGAAAACCCAGATAAGGAAATCATCAGTTCCATTACTTTAGTTGTTATTAGCCGTGTTAAAGGTATGGGGTTTCTTGTCAGCACAGTTACTCAATAAATCCATTTCATGAAGGCATGAGATGCAGGCCAATGAGAGGTCGACCTCTCCATGGATCTTTTGTGTTATTGTTCCAACGTTATCCTCTTGTACACACCATCTTTTTAGTCTTACATGCCTTTGTATATTCTCACCTTCTAATTAACGTCTGGTGGCATCTAACCTCTATGTGAGCCACAGCCAGGAGGCTTTACTGTGGAACAGGACTTCATTACCATTTTACACATGTTCCTCCACTTTCTAATTACCCCACTAGGTAGAGGAGTTGCCAGCATCTAAATGTTTACCGCTTCTATGAAGTCATGGAAATATACAGCTTTTCCCCTTGTCTTACCACCCCCACCTCTACCAGGCCTTTTTGTTGTTGCTGTCTTATGCTTTGCTTTCCTCTCCTCTCTTTTCCTCCCATCATGGTGTCCTAGCTTGCTCTCCCCCCTCTCTCCCTTGTCTCGCCATCTGCTTTATTCTCTCTTTATTGGTCCTGTCCACACCTGCAGTCATTTGTCCTCCAAACATCTAGCACCAGATGACAGATCACATTTTGAACAATCGCGGTATACATGTGTGATGATTGACATGAGTGGAGCCAATTGCCGAAATTAGACGGAATGGCATTTTCTTCCTGGCTGAGCATCTGGGTGATTCACTTGTCAGAAACATGAAGAAAGAGAGCCAAGTGGGCAAATACCTTCCATTTATAAACATACAATTATTTACATCATGTGCTATACACTGTAGGATCACGTTGCAACACATTCTTTGTTGCCCGTAATATAGTATACACTAGAAAAGGCCCATCTGCAGTGTTTGCCCTGAATACTGATCATGTGCACCTTTCTTCTACACTGGATTCCCTTCTCTAGGTGACCTTTTACAAAATGATGGTGCAGTTTAGTCACTGAATTATCTGAACACTCTATGAAAATGCTGTCTGAATTAGCATGGCTTCCTCTTTGATAAAACATGAAAGGAATGTCACAAAGATTGCCCAAATTCCAGCAGCAGTGGGTTTTTCCACACAGGCGTTTTTTTTTTCTTTCTTTCTGGTTATTTTTGTACTGGCTACAGTTATCAGCAGAGCCTTTGGACGACATGTTGCTGCCATCTTTCACCTTTTTGTGTTTTTGACCCAACCCATGGCACACGCAAGCTGTTTTTAAACAACATTATTTCTCGTTTTTTGCTGAGGTAGGGCTCTTTGCAGAGAGATAACCCATTAGGGTGTGCTGATACCAGGCTGGGTTAGATTGCACCCATGGGGGCTTTTTTTGGTCTTTGGTGCTGCTCAGCAGTTCTGAAAATCTGTTTGGCTGAAGGCCTTTTTTTTTGTCTTTCTATAAAGGTCTTCTTCTACACATGTCCTGGTTTTTCACCTCCTGTCCCAGAGTGTTTATGAAGGTCCAACACAGGTCCTACGTGACTATGAGGCGGCATTTGCATCTAGTATTTCAATCAACAGTCTAACAGATCTTATTTTGAGACATGCCACGGGCAGAAAAAGGTGGGTGGGTTTTGACCATCGGCCTGGGTGAACGTGGAGCTGTGAGTCAGGCGATGTGCGTGCCGCGGAGTAATCCTGCCTCATGGAGTCATCATGTTAGATGTCTTCATGTTTATACAATCTTGGGACTCCTTAAATCAGATGATCAATCCTTTACCCCGGCAGCAAGGCTTCACTGGCACACTGCCCAGAATCTTGGACTGTGGTGTCATTGCCTTCCCAGAATTTAGACCCACTTCATGACTTAAAGTCCCAGATTACACGGACAGAATTGGTCAAGGACATTTATGTTGTGTGTCTCTGCCGATTTGCAGATCCATTCACTTTATTTCACAACCATAACACCTTTCAGATGTTCATTTGACATACAAAGTATGATGAGTTTATGATGCATTTTTCAGTTTAAACATCCTGAGTGCCATCAAAGCTGTTGACATGAAGTCCACCTTGACCAACTGGGACATTAGAGTACTGCTTTCATGTTCATGCATCAATAGCAGCAGTGTAACATAATGCTTCAATGTGACTCTGTCTGTACATATATACATATATCGTTACTATTATTATTATTATTATTATAATAAATACACACTATTATTTATTACATTACAGATTTTATTTTTATACTCCTGGAAATAATTACTGCACTTGATTCCTTATTCCTAAGTATGTATGCTGCGTGTATTTTGTTGTCTTATGTTGTGATGTTTTTGTTTTGATGGCACCCTTGAAAAGGAGAAGCATTTATTATTATCTCATTGTGCATGTATAATGACATTAAACGATTCTATTCTATTATTCAAATATATTAATAGTAAAAGAAAAGTGTGAAACTTTCACCTGTAATGATATCATATATTTACATTGTGTATTTATAAGTGTACTTCACTCTCCCTTGTTGGGTGACATTATTTCTCACTTCCCCCACACCCTGCCACCTCACCTCTCTCACCTCTCCGTATGTGAACCTTCTGAGTTAAGGTATAGAGACAGAGTATGTGGGATGTGTGCATCACTAACTCAAGCTACATCCTCGTACTGTAAGCAGAACCGCAGCCAGGATTTAGTGGTCTGAGATGCCAGAGTAAAAGAGATGCTTTCTGCTCTCTGGCTTAATGCTGACACATCCCCCAGCCTCACTTAAGCACTCTGTAATATGAGTGGGTCGTTTTCAACCGTATTATTAGTGTTGCTATTACTTGCGCTTCTGTAGTTTAATGGCTTTGGGGCCGAGGACACAAAAGGAAGAAGACCACAAATGCTATTTAGGCTTTGCTCGCCTCTTAGTCTGTGCCTTATTTATTTCTTTAATCACTGCGGCTCACTGACAGTTATAGGATCTGACAGCGACTAATAAAGAATAGCACACAGTATTATTTTTGGATTGCTGCTCTTTTACCAAAAAGCCCTGGAAAATGTCTGTCTTATTTTTTAGAACACAACAGACGCCTTGGCTGCTTGGATAGTTTCAAGGCTCGTCAACATGTTGCGATAAAGGGAGTTTGAAGCAGCAGATGATAATCATACGTGTTTTATGTTTTTGGGAACACTCATTGTCAGATAAGAGAATTCTCTGGAACTGATGAATAATTTAGACTCACCCCATGGTTGATTCCAGACTTTCTTTGATAAGGCTTTCCCTCTACCAGCCTTCCCAACTCTTATGCTTTTCTTCTTTTACCACGCTGCAGAATTACTATTCCTCTCATCCAGTTTCACCATGGCAACGTGTGTCATCTTGGTTTATGTGCTGGAGAACATCATCTGGTTGTCTGAAGCAACTGTTGGTTGCTGAGCACATTGCATGATTGGGAGGGAAAGCAGAGAGTGGGGGAAGTGGAACCCCTTAGGTAGGGCGAGTACTCCCCTGACCTATTTAGATCACAGCGTCAGCCCTTTGTTTCTGTGGCCTCTGGTCCTCCACTGGAATATTTCTCACCTTTTTTTTTTTTAAGGGAATATCTACTGATGGAAGTCAGAATCAGATGCGTGTTCCAAACTATTACAGAAATATATTTAAGCAATAGCTCACGACAGGCCGTGGTATATGCTCATTATATCACAGCTAAGGGGCGTGGTTCGGCCCGACTCGACTCCTCGACTCCTCAGTCCTCCGGTAGTGACCCGGAAATTAATTTCAGCGCGCCATGTTGAAGGACATCTCATTCCTCTAAATGCACTTTGAGGACCGAGGATCGAGCGTCAAGGAGGCTCTCTGGAGGAGCTATAACCGAGGATACACTGATGGGTCCTCCACGGCTCCTTCGTAGATGCATTTCCGGGAAAAGAGATGTTTCAAAGAGTCGTGACGCACGGCCGGACTTATCTCAGCCAATGACAGCTCTGCATGCATCCCCTGGATATTATTTTATTAACTCCGTCCAGAAAGCAGAGCAGTGTGTAAAATATATATCACTCAGTATAACAGGCCTACTCTCTTTATTTGCTTTAGTTTAGTAGATATCTAAGAAAGAGTCGATTTTTTTCTAGCATTTAGTGCTTCACATAATAAAATACACAACGGCTGTAGCCTGATTATATGCTTTAGGAGCTGTAGGTGCGTGTGGTACAGTGTGTAGGTGTGTGCGTGGTACAGTGTTTAGGTGTGTGTGTTGTACAGTGCGTAGATGCGACGGACAGACGGGTCTCAGTTCTAAACACTGTACCACGCACACACCTACACACTGTACCACACGCACCTACNTGTGTGTGTGTGTGTGTGTGTGTGTGTGTGTGTGTGTGTGTGTGTGTGTGTGTGTGTGTGTGTGTGTGTGTGTGTGTGTGTGTGTGTGTGTGTGTGTGTGTGTGTAATCACATCCTCTGCTAGATTGATTCAAGCCTCAAAATATTTACTACGTATCATGAGTTATTTTCCCTGGAATGAAACAGTGCTTGGTTTCATCTCATGTGTTCGGTTCTCTTCATGTCTGCAGCTGATAAGGACTCGGTGATATGGAGAAAATAAACATTACCATATGTCTGATAAACACCTGAATATTGCGACATTATAGTTAGGCTGAGTATTAGTGATTTCGCAGAATATCTACACAATTGGATTATTGATAAATAATCAATTGTAATGTAGATATATAAAATTAAAAAAACATGACTTTACTGTCTTTAAAACCAGGAGAAAACACTTGCAGTATTTACAATGTACAAAATGTATCCGTGATATATATAATATTGATATATTGCCCAGCCTTTAAGCTGATGAAGGCATTTTACCTCCTCATCGAGGTGGAGTACTGCTGCTGGTAGTGCATGGCCGAGTCTCGCTGTTTGAGCAAAGCGTCCATCTGCTTCTGCAGCCTCCGGTTCTCCTCCTCGGCCTGCTCCAGGCGGCTCAGGTCTGTGTTGTGGTTAGCCACCTTCTCACTGTGGCGCTTGCTCAGGGCATCGTACTCCTTCTTTACGCCCTCCAGCTTGTCCATAGCCGTGTCGTAGAGTTTGTTCAACACCTCTGATGAGCCCTTCTCTCTCATGACCTGGTTAGGACAACACAATTCATATATTTAGGCCCAACATACATTTCTGACCTCTTGCTAAATTATGAACCATCCAGATCTCTCAGGTCTTCAGGGACTGGTCAGCTTTCTGTCCCCAGAGTCATAACTAAACATGGAGAAACAGCTTTCAGTTATTATGCTCCAAATATCTGGAACAAACTCCCAGAAACCTGCAGGTCCTCTGCAACTCTTACTACTTTTAAATCCAGGCTGAAGACTTTTCTTTTTGCCGCTGCTTTTAATTGAACTATTCATATCTCACACTGCACTGTAACTTTTATTCTTTTATCATGTACCTGTGTTATTCATGTTTTATTATCTTTGCTTTTAAAAAGGTGGGGTAGGTACGTTTGAGAAACCGGCTCGAGATACACTTTTTGTTATATTTCATGGAATGCTCTTAACATCCCGATAGCAATGAATATCTTAAGTGCTTTGACAAAAAATCCATAAAAACATGTTCATCTGTGGAAGCCGTAGTACTGTAAAAAGCACGACCAATCATCTGAGCCGGCCCGGCTAAAATAACTGGATGGCCTACCTGCCTGTCAGCCTTCCATCTGTGCACAAACTTATCTCGGGCCTCATTGGTCATGTGCGCGTTCGTGTGTGTTGGAGGAGGGGTTCTGTAAGGAAGCGGCAGATTTTTTCCGGCTGTGTATTTTCAAATTCTTGCGCACTCGAGCTGGTTTCTCTAAAATTACCTACCCCACCTTTAAACGAGTGTTTTAAATGCCATTTTATAATATGTTTCTGCTGCACTATTTCTTAATGCTCTGAATGTCTTTCATTTTTGTAAAGCACTTTGAATTGTCTTGTGTTGAAAGGTGCTATGTAAATAAACTTGCCTTGCCTATGTCATTTTTAAAACTACTTAGTGTCTGAAATGCAGATGTCATCAGGTAAAATCCAACGAAGCCTGTATCTGCTGTGCCCCACCTGAGCAGCAGATGGCATCAATGTGGCAGAATGTATTCATGCAGTGTAAATCCTGTTCTAGCTTAAACTATTTTTTTTTCTAAAGTTCATTTCAAGAGCTGCATTAAAACCAATTGGCTGACCTGTCAAATTAACAGTTTTAAGTGTAGAGTGTGTCCTTCGGAGTGCATTATGCATTCTCTGCGAGGCTGCATGTGTCATCAGTGCAGGTCCTGCTGATTCCTGACGCTGTGACCCAAGGGCTTTATTGACCTCGTCCACACAGCGTATGCTGCGTATACACTCATCTTGTAGCTACATAGTTTGGGTCAGGGTGCCCTTTGCCCAAGCCAAAGCCCTTCTGTGCTACACTTGCCCTTTCCAGAAGTGCTCTGTGTGCATTTCCCTCTGCTTGGCTGCTCTGTGCTCTTAACTACTGCAGTGTTCCCATGAGAACTGTGGGAGACAGTACTGCGTAAAAGTCCAATACAGGTCACAGCATCCTTGTGCTGTTTAGAACAACGTGAGGAAGTATTGTTTGAAGCTTCAAAATGTAAACAAGGGGACAACCTCGGCACTATAAGGCATATGTGACTGTGTGGAACTATTTGTATAAAAGCAGCATTTTGATTTTCTACATTGGCTCATCCCCGAAGGCAATCCCTGACCTTTCAACATCTGGCCGGCCAGCCAGAACACAGCCCACACACACACACACACACACACACACACACACACACACACACACACACACTACCTGTTGTTGCTGCAGCCGCAGGTCTGCTAACTCTTTCTGGTCTTGGCTGTGCAGTCGTTGGAGCTCCTCACAGTTCTGTTTTAGGTGGTTGTGCTCTCGAACAAGTTGGGCGTTGTCCCTCCTGAGTGTCTCCATCTCCTCTTTCAACTGAGTCTGTTCACCGAGGACGCGACTGTGCAGCATGCTGGTGGGAAAAACACACACAAGCAAGAGGAGTAAACATATGTTTTTACAGTTTACATGCAAATATACAGAAAACTAAATGTGTAATGTTAATTAGCAAAATGGGCCTTCAAATCAAGCAGGTGATTCAGCAGGTGATGTGCAATACAAAGAAAGTCGTTGAGGGGTAATAAAATGTATGGACATTATCCAAGAGGGTGGGACTACCGAAATGCAATTTCCTGCGACTAGAGGAGAATTAAAAATCGTAGGTGGGAATATTTATAATTGTAGGTATTTTAGAGGGATTTCAACCGATAGTGTACCAACCATGTTACCTATATACCACCCGATTCGATTTTTTTTTTTTTACTTATCTCTTGATTGTTTCATTTTTTTTAATTAATTGTAATTAGTTAAACGCTTTGACAGCTAATACCCTGTATGATCAGCTTCTATGCTCCAAACATTTCGCCTCGGCTTATGAGCTGTTAGGCTTAATAATTCAATCACATAAATGCTTCCATTTCCAGGCTTTTTTTGCAGTGCCAATTCCCTTTCAACATGAGAGGCAGCTGTAGCTCGCAGGGATGTCCTTTCAATTAGGTTAATTGCAACACCATGCCAGTATTTGCTACGATTCCAGTAAAACAATGCAATAAATGTAATTATTTCTATGTTGTAAAGCAGCATGTGGCAGGTGACAGAGTGTTCCTCCAACGCTTACGACATATGCACCGAATGTGACTGCTGTGCTGACACACATTCAGCATGGCTTTTCTATTGGAATCGAAAGTGAATAGTTGCATTAGATTACTGCATTATACAAGTTCATAAGTTTCATTAGCAATGAGAAATAGGTAGCATTAGAAACACTTACTGGTAGAAGTCAGCCTCTTTTACAGCCTCCTCGCACCTCTTGAGTGTTTTGGTGTGCTGGTTCTGGAGAGACTGCAGATCTGCCATGGCCCTCATGCACTGACTTTTCAGACGCTCATAGTCGTGGCTGGGTTTGGAATTTGGCCTTAAGGAGAAAAGCAGCAAGGAATCAACCCTCTATCAGGGAGCCTCGTACTACAATGTGCCCAAAAAGACTTCAGACAGAAGCACGTAAAAGACAGAGTTGACCTTCCCCTTTGATGTGAATGTATAAAAAAAATGTAAACAATATAAAGAAATATTCACTAAGCAAAGCACCTTTCATATCATCTGATGTACAATAAATTAGGTAGATAGAGGTTTATAAATGTCATAAAGCAGCCAGTGTCCGTATCCTGTCTCTGCAAGTTAAAGTTACATGAGAAGATGGAAACATAGCAGCCATAAGTAAGGACACTGATATCACAGAGAATTTAACAATACAGATAACATGTTCACACTTTGCTGCTCTGTCAGCAATGAATCTCAGGTCAGTCAATAGCTGGATCTGATGTATTTAATTTAAGCATAAAGAAATAATCTATAATCACAGTCGACATAATTCATAGACCAAATTCAAAGTGTTACCATAAGGGTAAAATACAGTATCAACAACTTGGCAGGCCGGTCAGGATTTTCACCTGCAGTCGTCGAAGGTGGTCCCCGGCGATGCCAACGCCAGACGCTTACGGAGCTCATCCCTCTCCCTGGTCACCTGACGGAGCTGGAACAAGATGGTGTCCAGGTTGTCGCCGGAAGGCCGGTTGTCGTTGATAGCCGGCGGGGGGGAGGAGGCTTCACCGTTAACGGGCGAACCTGCAACAGAGAGCATGTTACAAGAGGCTAGGACCACTGATCCAGACACTGGAAAATTCTTTCTGGCAGTGCTCATCATGTAAATGTCGGTAAACTAAAAACATATATTTCTAAAAACATTGAAATTCCACAAAAATATGAACAAATATTGCTAGTGACAGTAATCCTAATTGTGTGATCTGTTCAAATTACACAGTGATGGTGGTCTTTGTATCCAATTTATTTGTGTTAATACAAATAACAGTTAACTTAAGTATACCCCTTTTATTTATGTAACAGCTTGCATTTTGAGTTTTTTTTATTAGTTGAACTTGTTATTCTTGAAGTCACTGAGAATCGGGAAATGTTTTTTAGTAAAAAATGTATTCACATGTTTAAGTTTGGCATGTATAAATGATCCATTTTGTCTAAGGTTTACCTTTATATGTTAACAATATTGCAAACACTTGATATAACTTCAAAACTAAAAACTGTGCACACAACTGGAGTTAACATGCATAGTATTTTAAAATCGATACCCAAGGAATTGTATTCAATTTGTGAGATGGGGAAAGATTACACCCCGTATACGATCATTCATTTGGAGGACAAAGAGTACACCTGCAACTGACTCCGACATTAGGAAACAATAGAGTTCTTCACAATGCTCAAGGCGGCTGTTATATAATCTGCTCGGGGTTTACCAGGACAATCTGCTGCACATCTGCAGAGCATGTTCTTGGATTTACACGACAGCATCTGTAATCTCTGACGTGAGAATTTAAGGCAGAAAGAGCAGATTGGATTTTGATTTGGCGATGTGCTGCATCTCCTGTACTCTCTGTGTGGTTTAAACAAAGGTGTCCATACATTTTTTAATTCAGCTTCTGCCCTTTTATTGTAATGTCAGGGCATGTTAAGTCTTTGTAAAGGACTTAGTGTGTCCTGACACTGTAAAATAAACAGATTCTGACAAAACATCATACCTGATTAAGGAGATATTTTCAGGGTTTGTGTTCTTGATTGAAAAGAGCGCACGCGGCAGGAAATCGGAGGATTATGTCAATCTTTGGGCCTTTTGGAATTTATGCAACACTGCTGAGTCATTTGGACCTTTATCAAAACTAGGGGAAGGCAAGCATGGTCTCCTTAAGGAAGGAGGAAGAGATTGGCTCAATGTGGGATTTAAAGGAAAAATAAACGTTGGAGACAATCAGGAAGTACGCCAATATTGTCATAAACAGCATTTCAAGTCATAATGCAGCCATGCTAACTTTGTTTTGCATTATTATGGTGTGTTTGTCGATGGTATAGAACTTCTCCAACCCGGCATGACACACACAAGAGAATAGGCATGTTTGGTTGTTATACATACCAACACTACTGAGGGAGCTGCTGCTTTCTGAGTCCGAGGGCATAGTGGAGAGGACGCTGTATGTGGAACCTGCCAAGAGACAAAAGGCCAAGAGATACATTCAGACATAAAGCACTGATAGATTGATTAGCCAATTACACTGCAGCCTGAATTAAGTGCCTGCACTATGAGGAAATAAATGAATATTACACAGTCAGCTTCATATTCCCTGCACAGCTGTAAGATAGATTTGGTGCAGGCTTTAAACTTGGAATAATAACTTCCACACTCCTTCTTAGCGGCTCTATATTATCACTCCAGACCGCCGTCGTCATTAAACCTCCTTTCCCTCACTGTGCACTCTGCCTTGCTTTGATGTATAGCCCCTGTATGTTTCTGCTACACAGGCAGAATGTCACGGCTGAAATGGGATTTTCTCCTTTTATGTCAAGCACATAGAGAGAGAGAGCGGGAGAGAGAGGCAGAGAGAAAACGGGTCTCTATCTGAATAGCTGTACACACCGTTAAGCTCGGGGATATTTCACACTGGCAACCACAATCCATAGGAGAGGCTATGCAGATGCCCATTATAATGCAGAGTCCCTGCTTCAAAGGGCAATATAAACATGGAAATTGTTTTTCTAAAAAGGACATATTTGAATATGCTTATTGCAGAGAGCATCATCTATTGTTTGGTACTCGCAAAGCTTAAGGAGTAAATGTGTTTCACTGAGGATGTTATATCTCACACTTCTAAACCTGGTGTGATAGCTGCTAAAATAAGAAGCTAAAAAAACTCTGTTTAAGGTTACATAGCATTAGCAATGATAATCTCCATCCTAGGGGAAACACTGGGTAAGCCCAATCTGATTTCCACACATTTAAAGAAAGTGTTATTCACAATAATACATTTCAAACACTTATTTTCATTATTATTTTGCATATGTGTAAGTACTTTTTTGACCAAAACAAACAAGCATTTATTCCCAAGTGTCAATGGCCACTGAATAATCATCAACCAATCATTTCAACTGCATATACATTTGTAGAAGTTTGGCCTTATGATGGCTAAAATTGGATGACCATTTTAGTTTTCACTTCGTAAAGCACTGTAAATTGCACAAAATTATGAGCTGCTTTGTTTTAGTTGTGGTTTATGTATGTTTATGTATGTTTCGTGTGTGTGAGGACCCCGGGAAGAATAGCCAATGCTCATGCTAGTGCTAATGGGGATCCTAATAAAGAATAAGAATGAGTCCCGTGTAAATAAATAATACAATTAAACCTGCATAAAAATCAGCAACTGTTTGGGTAATACTTCTAATGGACTAAATGCACCACAAACACATGGACAAGTGTATTGTGTACATGGTTTAAGACAGCAGGGGAATGGTAGCAGGCTTTGTCAGCAGCAGGCAATACATTGAAACCAACTGTTCCAGATCTCCATCTCCACCCTTGCCTCCCCACTGGGTTTAGCTACAACTCTGGCTCCGGCCCTCAATGTGTGACGAGGCCAAGCCTAATTAACTATGAGCTCTGTGCGACTGAGCCACTCCATCTTAGGCACCGCAGACAGAGGAGCGGAGAAGGGGGGGGCAGGAGGGGAAGGCATGGAGCAGAGGAGGACAGATGAAAGGAGATAGCCAAACTAAGTCGCAAAAGAGATAAGGAGGAAGGGTGTTTGAGAGACAAAGAGGGAGAGACTGTTAAATAAAGAGATAGAGGGGCAGGGTGGAAAGGCATTTAATCTGCTCTGACATTCCCTGATGCTCAACACTTTTAGTCTGCGAGGGGCTCGGAGCACACACAGCTTTGATTTCATTTTGTTCCATCAGACATGATGAGAACCACTCTGAGGCTGCACAGCATTAGTCCTCTACAATTAACACTATGCAAAAGGCTCAGGCTCATTTCCATGCCTGCATTTGAAAAGCAACAACTGAATCCTTGAACCCGGAATCAGACTGACAAGGTTTCATCGAGAAAAGACGTGAGCCACTGGGAGGTATTGTGCCATCTCAGCTGAAGGATTAACTCTTTTTTTTTTTTTTTTTTTAAATGCTACACAGAGTCAGTAAAGCTCTCTGCCAGAATAAGCCGCAAAATGTAGAATCTTGAATGTTGTATTTTGCAATTTGGAAACCAAAACACTCCCACACAAAGGGGGCAATTGCGAGAGAATCTTCAAATATCTCATAATCTGATTTGGCTGCGATGACAAGTACGTGCACAGAAATTCCCACATGCAGATTCAGTGTCACCAAGTGCTGATTAGTTAACCCCGTAAACAAACCACTGAATGCAGTATGGATCTGCATGTTAGATACAAGCCAGCTCCTGGCGGTCGATGGGTCAGCGGCATTCGCTTATACCAAACAGGCTTTTAATCATCGATGGCAATTAGCACCAGCCATAGTCAGTGAGGCTGATCATTTGTAAACAGGCTCACTGCATCAATAAAGCAGGCATCCATTAGGGTAGCACAGATCTGGTGATCTACAGTGGGGAAATCCTCGTCTTTGCCAAAAAAAAGTCAGATAAGATAGATCAGATCTGAGAAATCTTACCCTGACAGTAGGGTTGCACGATATGAGGAAAACATGTTAGCATTGTTGATTATGGTGTGATACTATTGCTTGTAAAAAAATAAACAGATTTGTTTTAAAGTGTACTAAGTTCTGCCTTCCTGCTGCTTTTGGTATACTGGTGAAATACCAAAAATTGCTTTGGAAATAAAACTATTAAAAAAGGAAATCATTTACTTATTGAACAAAAAAGGTGATTTAGAGTGAGTTATTATATAAAAATGTAATTTTCTGCAGATCTAGTCTCTCATAACCAAAAATAAAACAATAAGGCAGTTTTTCATGATGTGTATTTAAGTTGAAATTGCCATGACGATAAAAAGCAACTAATTGTGCAGCCCTGCAAAACATTCTAGATGGATTCTAACAGATATACATTATGGAATTTTAATAAGGAATTTTATAAAACGGACAAGTCAAATCAAGCAATCTGATTGGTTCTTAGCCGTGATATACTGAGCGTATACCACGGGTAGAATTGTAAGTTACTTTTCACAAAAAGTCAGTATCCCTCCGCGTCTGAGAAAAACAGTATACCATTGGGTTGAAAAAGCAAACTGCCTGGAACAAGAAAGCAGCGGAGAATTAACGGGGCAGAAAGCCTCCTTTTTACGAAGCGGTCCAGACATAGACATCAAACAGCAAAACATATTCAGTGTGCAGTTCCTTTGGCATTAGGGCAGGGATATCTAGATACTTTTGAAGGTTTAACATAATTAATTGTGCTACTTTTAAAGCAAACAACGATGTTTTCAAATCTGTAATCAAAGAGGTCCGCAAAAACGCTATCGACCAATCAGATTGCTTGATTTGACTTGTCAGTTTTATAAATATATTTAAATTTCTTCCGTTACGAAACAAACTTACAAAGCATAAAATGGAAACATTTAAGATTAATTTCGACCTCCGGGGGGGGTCTTACTATAGTATGGAGGAGTGGATTGAGCAGTGCCTATCTCCAGAAAAAAAAAGCACCTAAACTACGACATGCAGAGCTACGTGAAGAGCAGGTAGACCAACTGGAAAAGTACCACCATTCAAAAGCTTTCTGATGCGGGTCTTGAAACAAAGCAGAGAAATTATGACCGTTAGTGGCCACAGGTGCGAAAGCTCTCTCCAGAGCTACTGGAAGCCCAATCTCGGGGACCGGAGAAAGTGGAGCAATATTCTCGCCACGCCAAGCAACAGCTTCGAACAAC